TTCGTGATGTAATTTTCGCGACCACATTTAAGACCTTGTATCCAAGTCCTTGTTTTATGGTGGTACGCATGGCTGGGATGTTTCCCTGTACAAATGGGAGTTACATCCCTTTGTGAAAATCGCGGTTTAGAGCGCCCATTGCACTTTGACGTCAAGAAGACGACTTTGAAAACGTCAAATGACAGAAGGTGTTATCTGATTGACTGTCGACCAAAGAAAAGGTATGTATACTTGTCAGTGTATATGTGTATACCATCATAGTATGTTGATCATACATAAATTCCTTCCATGCTCGTATATTTTGGAAATATTAGACAGTGCAGCAAATACACTGATGGTAACGTGATTACAGACGACTGGACTTTTGAAACAAACTTACATCCACACTGTTGAAAGATTATTGATGAAGGTTCCTTGGATGTGATCTCGTTTTGCCCTTTATGCAAAGGACTTTATGTTTTTCATATATGCGGTATAAAGAGGACATTTATTTACATTGAGACAGTGTCTCAAAGTAGTGGTAACGAAGATTACAAATATTGCAGAATTAGATATTTCCTTCAAATTCCGATGCTATAGAGAAACGTAAATCAATGTTTTCAAGACTGGCAGTGTTGTCTGTTCGACAAACGAAGGCTGTCATCCAAGATGCCGGGGAATTGTTTAAATGGGGAACGGAGAACCACAAAAGCTGCTCCTATCTGTTCGTCAACAGTGACGAGATTGCTGCTGTCAAGGAGGAACTTCAGGAACTGACTAAGACCACAGTCCCCTTGAAAGGAACCATGAAGATTCATGCAATCATTGGAACATCAAAGGGATACATAATGGCAAGAAAAAAATCATGCTACTGTTCCATGTGTCCGGATGGTAATTGCCACACTGATTGGTTGCCCTCCTCTATCTTGAAGCCCACTGCTCCTCGACCGGATGTTGTTACACCAGAGCCTTGTGTAGAACCTTCAGTAGAACCACCGGTAGAACGTACAGCAGAATCGTCGACAGAATCTTCAGCAGATCATCCAGCAGATCTGGAACACATTGATCCTGGGCAGAAGCAAGCTCCTGCTACACATCAACCCCGCACAGTCGTACCTACCAGCGGTGACTTCATTGCTGCTGTGTACCAAGGCAATTGGTATCTTGGAGTGGTCAAAGAGGTGGACCCGGATTACAGTGATTGTCATTTCAAATGGCCAAGACGTTCGGATGAAATCTGGGTGTCATTTGAGGATATTCTTTGCACAGTTCAGCCCTCTCAAGCCACTGATCGTTATCGGCGCGCTTTCAAACTAACAGCGCATGATGAAGCACACATTACCATGGGTTTCAGAAATGTGTTGTAATTTACGACACCATTCAACAAGCAGTTAATTTGACAATTTCAGGATATTTAACAGAGCCTTGTAGCTGTTCTTTTCAGTATGATTCGTTAGTTACTTGAGTACACGTTCCTCGCGTTGTCTCGCTGTATTTCAGAAACCTGGAATTTTCGTTACTAATAGTTGTAATCTACAAGACATTTTCAGAATGGTCGACAAATTGTTCTCTTCATTATTCTGTATTTGATTCTTAAACAATGTTTCTGTGGCAATGTTGGTATTTAGCCTTATATAAAAGTTTGTTTGGTAGATATATGTAAGCTAGGGCTAATTGAATTGAAAGTGATGTTATCCTTGCACACAAGTTCTTGAGAACACAAGTTATTGTTTTAAAGAAAGCTGTGCCCTATCTCTGATGACAGAACACATACTGACCGTGACTATTCATATCACCTGACTCCCGGCAGTAATGAACAATATAACATCATGTGTGTACTTGCTTTCTGCAGAAACTACTGGCATGTGTATGTAATCTATGTGCATAACGTAGATTACATTGAGAAAAATGAGGGGTCAAGTTTAACCGACCACACAGAATTTATTTTTAGAGTTTGAGTCCTGAAAATTCACATGTTAACCTTAGGATGGTGTACTTACACCATCTTAATTTAAAAAATAAAATATTGAAGTTGACTTTTCAACAGTTTGTCATGTTTGATGGTGCACATTTCGTGAGAATTGGTGCTAAATCCAATATTTGCTCAAAGGCACAGGTCATAGGCTCGTTTGAACAAGAGGGTCTTCAGCTCACTTTGAAATATCTCACAGTCATTGGTTTGCTGGATATTTGTTGGGGGTTCATTCCAGAGTGCAGGGCCTGCTTTGACAAAAAAAATTAAGACATTTAGTTGTTGAAGAGAAGTTGACCGCAGCGTTCTCTGAAGTTGATATCTAGCTATAAGCTGTTCCAGATACACACCGTGAAGAGCTTTAAACACGAACATCAGTAATTTGTAAATGTGGAAGTCAGTGTAGGTCGTACAAGATTGGCGTAATATGCTCGTGTTTACGTGTTCCACTTATCAATCTTGCCGCTGAGTTCTGTACCTTCTGAAGTTTGCTCGGGTATAGCTGGTTCGATCCATACAGCAGTGAATTACAGTAATCCAGCCGAGATGCAACAAAATCATGTATAAGTGTTTTGGCCGCAATGCCTACATACCGCCTGATTTGACTAATATTTCGTTGGTGGTAGTAAGCAACCTTGCAACCTTACAACTGCATCTGTATGATGTTCATAGTGTTGCCTGAAAGATGAAGCCTGGCTTGATGACACATTCTCCCATGAGAAAAGGTGGTGTTGGCATGTTCGAGGGCATTTGTCTGGAACTGATGATCAAGAGTTCTGTCTTGTCATCACTGAGTTTCAGAAAATGGGTCCATAGCTTGATATCCTGTATGCATGATGACATCCAATTCGAAGGCATTCGTTATTGATGTTGACACCAGTGCCGTGATACAAAGCCGAGATATAACTGTGTATCATCCGCAAATAAGTGAAAGGATAGGCTGTGTCTTCTGGATATTTCTCCAAGAGGAAGGGTATAGATTGTGAACAATACTGGCCCTTGGACTGATCCCTGAGGAACTCCTGAGGTGAATGCTTACTTGATGCTGAGCCATTAATGACAACTATTTGGTACCGATCAGAGCGTTACGTTTGATTCCAATGACGTTTTCAAGAAGGGAAAGGATAATTCCATGGTCAATGGTATCAAAAGCTGCTGATAGGTCCAGCAGGACCAGCACAGCTTCACCCTTGATATCAACTTCAGTAAAAGGTCGTTCAATACGCGTAACACAGCCGAGTCAGTGCTATGACCACCTTTTGCTGATTACATGACTTTACCTAGGTTGTTGGCTTTCATGTGGTCCTGAAGTCCAGCTGAAACTACTCGTTCAACCAGCTTAGAGAGAAACGTATGGTTAGAAACTGGACGGTAGTTCCTAAAAACATCAGCATCCAGATTCGCTTTCTTTAGTACAGGTGTGACTAGTGCTTCTTTGAGAGATTTGGTGAATGTGCCAGGTGACATTGATTGATTGACGATCTTGGTACTGACACACAGTTTTAGCAGCCAAGTCGGAATCGGATCAGAACAACACGGTTTTGTTGGACTTCGTTTAAGAATCTTCTTAATTTGCAAGTCGGTAGTGTGGTTGAAGGATGACAGCGTGTTTGGGGTGGTAGTCATTAATGTCTGATTTATAGACGACATGTTGGCTTCTGGTACCTCCAATTCAGATCGAATCTTGAGAATCTTTGAACTGAAGAAGGAACAGAAGGTCTCAGTTAGCTTGTCTGGTGATGTATGAGAGAGGAGAGCACTCTGCTTCTCCTTGAAGAGCAAGGTGTTAGAAACACTGAATTGCTCCTCTAAACTTGTGGCATTTGTAATAGCTGTTTTAAACTGGCTAACTTTAGCTTCATCAATAAGTCGGTTGACAACATCACGCTGAGTGAGCTGCATGATTCTGTTTGTGGATTGTTAGGTGAGTGCGTCTTATTTGCCTTTCTAACTTGCGTTGTAGTTGCTTGGCTCTCCTTGTTTCATCCGTGTACCATGATGTCTGATGTCGGATGGTTACTTGAGATTTCTTGGATGGCGCATGTTTGTCAAGAAGTGCACCAAGTTCATTATTGTACTGGTTCACGGAAACAGCGTCATCCAACGTCATCCGACACAATGTCCGAGCTTACTGTTCGAATGTCTTCAGTAAATGATGTAACATCAATGTCTTTCCACTTTCTACAAAACACCGTCTTGCTATGATGCAACAGTGATCAGACTTGACGGAATGGTCATATTTAAAGTTCCAGAGTCGAAGTTCATCGGATCTTGTTTTGAGTTCCAATGCATGTCCATTTCTATGGGTTGGTGATAGAACATGTTGAATGAGACTCTAAAAGCGCGTTTTTGTCAAGCTTAATATCCATGTGAAAATTTAAATTTCCACCTACGATAACTTCCCTAACAATTTTTGTTTTGGGGCAAAAAACATTGTTTTGGGGGGGGCAAAAACATCTCGTAACTACGTTTCCGTTATGGTTAATATGTCAAGGTTGTGTCCAACTATCAAATCGTTGATAACATTTGCTTTGTCATTTCCAGGACTGTTAGCTTGCTTTGGTGACAAAGTTAAGGCAGGATAAAACGAAAAGGGTATACCTCAAGGCCATGCATGTACCAGGATGTGACGGCACTGTAATATTTACTGCTGTGTATTAAACTTGGGAGATTGGGCAAAGTTTCTGTTGAAACACTGACATCAATGTATTTAAGAGGACTGAGAAGCATTGGGGTTGAACAGGCTGATGCCTGATACATGTTTGATGAAGACGTGATTGTTTACATTAGCAGCCTACAGGAATACATGTGGAGAATTGGCAGGGATGTCATGCACTTCAGCCTGTGGCCTCTGATGTCATTCAAAGTTCAAGAAGTCTGCCGGTGCAACAGATGTTGGGGACGTAATGTTGCCTCCATATCGTTATCCCAGATCTCTAAGACACAGTTAAGGAAACTCTCAGTGGGAATATTTTATTCCTAAATGCATTGCACTCAAAAACGATTGAGTAGTCTTGGGCTAGCGAGAGCTAAATACAATAAAAACATGTTTAATGTGATCTTTTATTGGAAATTCAAACCAGAGTATTAAATTTTAATAAACACAAGATGTTCAATTAGATACAACCAGTCGGAATAAATACCGTTGTCATGGATCAATATCATTAAAGAAGTCGTTATTGTCGAAATGCGCTTTGAGGGTGAGGAATAAGTAGAGACTTCGGATTAGCATATGATGTGCGTCCCTTAACAAGTAGAGCGGGACATCTGGACCTTGTTATCTGAGTTGTTTGAGGATGGATTCAGCAGTCGGCGTGGCAGAGGCTGGGTTCTGCCCTGTCACTATTCTTCCGCTCACCTAAAAGTGTAAAAATCGTCAATATAATTCGGATAAACATTGTGAATGTACATATATAACATATAAAGGGTGTTGAGGGTAAGAAAAGTCCCTAGCAATCTTTGCTGGTCATTAGCGTCACATGGATCGGGTGGTCAGGCTTGTAGACTTGTTTGAAGGCGTTTCATCGTATCATGAGATCATCACCGTTGTTCGCAATATCAATCACTGGATGTTCAGGTCTAGGATGACCGTAACTCCCATACTTGGTTGAGACACGATTTTTCACATGTCTGTGGTCCATCGCTCAGTGCGGCTAAACAACAATGCCGAATGTATCTATTGCATGGCACCAAGTGACCAAACTTTGACGTATACTATTTTCCTGTAGTAGTTGCCAAGCAATTATTTTCGGAACTTCAACAGATTTTTTTATGGACATACAGCGTGTCCTGTGAATGAGCATGGCCCGTGAGTATGGTGTTGTTTCATAACTTAAGGTTAACTAATAGCATCATCTTACAGAACAACACCATGTTTACCTGAACGTTTGGAGCGAAATTATCCATTCCTACAAATTTAGCTCCATATTCCTTCAATCTCGTCTCCAGTGGGAACGGCATTGCCTCCATCAACTTGACCGCCTCCTCCTCAGCGTTGGTGAAGCTGGTCACCGTCTGGCCCTTCAGGATACTGTCCCCGTTGTCCAACCGTATTGGGATGAGGCCTGGCGAGAGAGCGCAACACTATAGTGGCACAATGCATCAAGTATACTGAATCTGGGTAGACAAAACATGTTTCGGAGAGTACTTTTATCTTCTTTAAAATTTACATTCTGGGTCGTGAAGAAATGGTTTAAAAAGTGCCGCTGCTCGTGATGACACAGGTATAGTAGTGACAGATCTAGTATCCAGAACCCGCGACCAGCGGTTCCTGGCGCGGGTAAGAAGCGTATCATTTCACTGGGTAGAGGCTGTATCTACCTGGCCTCCTGTCTTCAACTGATCTGTGACTAGCAGCAACCAATCACCCAGACTGTCACTGTGATGTACAGTGTACAAGGACATAGTCAACTCACCAACGGTGCCGTGACATACAGCACTGACAATGCCTCCACTCTGATAGATCTGTGCCCCCAGCTTCCCGATAGCGTCACACTGTGGCAGGTCAAACATTGGGCCGTGACCACCAGCGTAAAATATCACCTTGAATTCACTGTAAACACACATAATTAGGAACCCGTCATTCAGAATCGTTATAACGCCTGTTTTTTTTGGAGAATTACTGACTGCTGGAAGCGATTTATGTCGTCAGAGGTGCATAGACTCGTTAATCCAGAACATTGTTTATATGGACGACTTCGAGGGTACCATAACCGTTCGAGTTGAAGGAATATTCCAAGAGAAATGGGCATTAGAAAAGGTATAGAATTGGTTGTAGTTAAATTAAGAATTAATTAAACGACCAATATAAGAAGCGCAGGAACAACCACGACATGGAACTCAAGATGTCTGATCTGTAACGAAATTACATGCAGTCACACTCTGTAATACGCACCATCCGTTTGCAAGTGGCCGTTACGGTTTGCAATGTACAGGGTAACGGCTCGCTACGGCTGAATAACAGTCACGGTGACTGGTACATTTTATCACATTTATACGCTATACTGTACAAATCTTGTCAATCATAGATAGCCAGTATTGAGATGAAGTATTCGAAAACGAGAATGTGTTCAAAGGAATTGTTTTAAACTTGAATTTACGAATTTGTGACCCTTTGATTCCAAACAGTGTTGGTGCTTTGATTTCATTTGTTAATTATTATCTAAATTTGTCGTAAAGAGAAATTCATCTTACATATTTATTTTCAAGAAGCATTACCATAGCATGATTGTTAACTGCATTGGCCTTAATATGTCAGGAAAAGCTGATATGACATAATATTCAAAACATTTTATACATTCGTCTTATGTGAATCCGAAAACTTGGTGTCAATAACATATTTAGAACGCCTCAACAGTTACCTTGCATTGACCTGGGAAGGAGATTTAGTATTATCCAGTTGGGACATGACAGTTTTATCTTCCAGAAGAGCCTTGCAGACGGGATCATCTTTGAAAGCTTCGTAACTGCCGGGGTCCTAAAATCACAAAGACAAAGGCTCTGCGTATCTTCATAACCAATCGTGAAGTAAGGGTACTTTTTGCGAAGAAAAAGCGATCCGTACGGATAGGTGGTCAGGTGGAAGGTCTGTCTCGTTGCTCATAAAGTTTATGACTGGTTTATCCAGACCAGAGGTGAGGTGAGGTGAAATGGAGATTAACGTCGCACTTAAGAATATTTCGCTCATATGACGACGTGCATACGTGTGTATGTGTGACTGCTTGTACTAGCCCAGACTTAAGCTGGTTTTATAGTGCTAGCTCACTGAGATACCATGCCGCAGTGAAGCATGAATACCCCACTCAGACACAGTATACGGACTCCGAGCCGACCAGTCCTTTTTGTACTCATTAATGCCGAGCGCCAGGCAGGGACCAACAAGTACCATATTTTAACTTATTTTGGTATGACGCGGCCGGGGATCGAACCCGTCACCTTCTGCTCTCCGGGCGGACGCTCTAACTACTACACCACGAGGCGGTTGTCCAGACCAGACCAGACCCAGTTATTAACAGGTCACCGTCATATGAAATATTGCTGAGTGCGTTATCAAACAACATGAGAACAACAAAACATACATCTCCACCCATTATCTCAAATATGTAAATCAGTTTCACGTAAGACTCAGCTAGACTCACCAGGGGCGCCTTTCCACCCCGAGGACTGACAAATACGATGTCATGTCCAGCCTTCTTGAAAACGTCATACGGGTGAGCCACTTCCGGTAGATACCACCCGGTCTTCTTTCCGGTGTTTCCCAGCTGGTCGTGGTTCGTGACAACAAGTAACACCTTCATGCTGGAACAAGCGTCATTGTCAAAAGGCCATTTAAATCAGAGAAAGAATCGTTGTCACGTGTTCATTCACAGAAATTTGAAACGTCATCGCCTAATAATAACTAGTCTTGAACCTGTGAAGCACCGTTTCCGAATTACGTAGACCGATGCTCATGATATCAATCACTGGGTTGTGTCTTCCAGACTCGATTATTTACAGACTGCCGCCATAGAGCGGAAATTGCTTAGTGTGGCGTTAAACAACAAACAAACAAAACATAATCATAAAAGGCAAAGTATCGGTGGAATTTGTATTGATGAATCACTGACCATCAACGATGACGCCGTGGCCTGACTGCTTGGCATTTTTTGAGGCTACCAGTCACTAAAGTGGCCAAACTGTATAGGTCGGTATTGAAGCAACCAGTTACTGATGTGGCCTGACTCCTTGGGTCGTTATTAAGGCTACCCATGTGGGAAACAAAAGGCCACAACAGTGACTGATAGCCTCAACAACGACCCATGCAGTCAGGCCACATCAATGACTGCTCGCCCCAATAACGACACAAGTAGTCAGGCAACAACACGGTTCGTTTTTGCGGCTACCAGTCACTGATGTGGCCTGACTGTACGGGTCGTTATTGAGGCTACCAGTCACTGCTGTAGCCTGACTGTACGGGTCGTTATTGCGGCTACCAGTCACTGATGTGGCCTGACTGTACGGGTCGTTATTGAGGCTACCAGTCACTGCTGTGGCCTGACTACATGGGTCATTATTGAGGCTACCAGTCACTGATGTGGCCTGACTGTACGGGTCGTTATTGAGGCTACCAGTCACTGCTGTGGCCTGACTACATGGGTCATTATTGAGGCTACCAGTCACTGCTGTAGCCTGACTGTATGGGTCGATATTGAGGCTACCAGTCACTGCTGTAGCCTGACTGTATGGGTCGTTATTGAGGCTACCAGTCACTGCTGTGGCCTGACTACATGGGTCATTATTGAAGCTACCAGTCACTGCTGTAGCCTGACTGTACGGGTCATTATTGAGGCTACCAGTCAGTGCTGTGGCCTGACTACATGGGTCGTTATTGAAGCTACCAGTCACTGCTGTAGCCTGACTACATGGGTCGTTATTGAGACTACCAGTCACTGCTGTGGCCTGACTGTATGGGTCGTTTTTGAGGCTACCAGTCACTGCTGTAGCCTGACTGCATGGGTCGTTATTGAGGCTACCAGTCACTGCTGTGGCCTGACTGTATGGGTCGTCATTGAGGCTACCAGTCACTGCTGTTGCCTGAATGCATGGGTCGTTATTGAGGCTACCAGTCACTGCTGTGGCCTGACTGTATGGTCGTTATTGAGGCTACCAGTCACTGCTGTGGCCTGACTGTATGGGTCGTTATTGAGGCTACCAGTCACTGTTGTAACCTGACTGTATGGTCGTTATTGGGTCTACCAGTCACTGCTGTAGCCCGACTGTATAGTCGTTATTGAGGCTACCAGTCACTGCTGTAGCCCGACTGTATGGGTCGTTATTGAGGCTACCAGTCACTGCTGTAGCCTGACTGTATGGGTCGATATTAAGGCTACCAGTCACCGTTGTAGCCTGACTGTATGGGTCGTTATTGAGGCTACCAGTCACTGCTGTAGCCGGACTGTACGGGTCGTTATTGAGGCTACCAGTCACTGCTGTAGCCCGACTGCATGGGTCGTTATTGGGGCTACCAGTCACTGCTGTGTTGTTTCCCGAACAGGATGCCGTGACATGGAGTGAAGACAGACTGAGGCTATGTACAATGTGTAAAGTCTGCTTGGTGTGTCCCGTTCCGGTTGAAATGTTTATAACAGTCACGCATGTCTCAGAGACCTTGAACCATATACAATGTATTTACCTTTCCGTCGAGTCGGTCTTTGTTATGCTATAGCTAACTCAAGCAACTTTAGATTTTCAACGACTCATAAAGTGACATCGCACTGAAACACCTTTCCAATTTATATGTAGTTGCGTGTTTCTACCTGTATAAGTGCAGGGTCTGAGCTTTAGTCAATGCTGAACTGTGCCCGGCATGTTTCGTCTTATGTATCGTCGACAGAACATGATGACTGTGGTAACTTACAACAATAGACCCACAACACGCTGCCTGCACGCAGTGTGCAGTCACATCTTGTTATAACCTGCATTCCTCAATCGTTGTGCAACCAGGAAATCACTCGAATCCACTGATTCCGGAAACAAACTAGATTCGAGTGATTCCTCAGATTTCAACCTTTTTTTGGCTGCAATATGTTCTCAAATGAATTTAGTTACTTTATTTGTTGAAATACACTTTCAAAAAGACCAGAAAATCTCTAGCTCAGAATCATCTATGCCAATAGTGTGACGTTACTATGGTTGCAACACAATATAACTGACAATGTCCACTATTGCTATTGCCTTAACTCTGGCTGTGTTCCAGGGACGTCTGTCTCGTTTTCAGCTCTGTGTGTGTGTGTGTGTGTGTGTGTGTTGTTGTTGTTGTTGTTGTGTGTGTGTGTGTTGTGTGTGTTTTATGTGTGTGTGTTTTGTGTGTGTTTGTGTGTGTGTGTGTGTTTTGTGTGTGTGTGTGTGTGTGTGTGTGTGTGTGTGTGTGTGTGTTGTGTGTGTGTGTGTTTTTTGTTGTTTGTTTTGCTGAAGGCGCTTGCTTGTCAGCAGATACACAAAGTCTGATTCGCGTCATGAATATCTTCTGACGCCCGTGGTCATAAGAGACTGATTTTAATATTTGAATCCCTCGTTCATTCAGTCCGAGCCTACCAGTTCTGTTCTATCCCCATGGTGACGAGAGTCAGGTAAGGTATCAATAATGAAGTACCACCATTAACCTCTTTAGCTATGCACTACAGTACATTGGACCAACGACCATCGAGCAGAGGTCCAGTCCACTGGACCACGGCCAAGGTCATCTTCAAACGAGCACCAGACCGTGTAGTGTTGGTCGCCTCAGTACACCTCGGGTCTGAGGCCGTGATCCCAACATACGGGTGTGTTACTTTGTTAACTGTGTGTTTGCTTAGAGCCAGCAGGACACTCATGTCTTCTCTTAAATAACAACCTATGCAGTCAACGTTTAAGTCAATGTGCTACGTTTTCCAGTGTACCCAATATCGTAGTACAGTGTTGTGTGTGGCAACATAGCGTGCAACTGATTATCAGTCTCCCACTACTTACCTTGACTCGTGCGTTTCCGATGAGTATGTGGGATTGAAGCCTCGATCTAAATACGCGACAACCTGTCAAGTCAGTGTGAGCTTATCGAACCGGACTCAAGACAGATGGTTCACGGTTTGACATGGGGAAGGGATTTGTCGCTAAAATTCTTATTTATGTTATGTTGGCTTGTCTTTATTTTATGTTTTGACTGTATATTCCGTGAAATTGTTCAGATGATGTAATTTATCACGTCAAACAATTATCATTGGTGATCAGTCATTTGACACCGTCACATTTATAAAAAGCAATCATTGGGTGGATGTAAATAACTTTGAATTCGTCCAATAATATATACATCACGTGGACTGTTTAATGTGGGGATAGTATTTGTCCTCGCTGACGTGGTTGACCCTAAATACATGGGTCGTTATTGAAGCTACCAGTCACCGCTGTGGTCTGACTACAGGGGTCGTTATTGAAGCTACCAGTCACTGCTGTGACCTGACTACATGGGTCGTTATTGAGGCTACCAGTCACTGCTGTGGCCTGACTCTACATGGGTCGTTATTGAAGCTACCAGTCACTGCTGTAGCCTGACTACATGGGTCGTTATTGAAGCTACCAGTCACCGCTGTGGTCTGACTACATGGGTCGTTATTGAGGCTACCAGTCACTGCTGTGGCCTGACTACATGGGTCGTTATTGAAGCTACTAGTCACTGCTGTAGCCTGACTACATGGGTCGTTATTGAAGCTACCAGTCACCGCTGTGGTCTGACTACATGGGTCGTCATTGAGGCTACCAGTCGCTGCTGTGGCCTGACTGCATGGGTCGTTATTGAGGCTACTAGTCACTGCTGTGGCCTGACTACATGGGTCGTCATTGAGGCTACCAGTTGTAGGACTACATGGGTCGTTATTGAGGCTACCAGTCACTGCTGTGGCCTGACTGCATGGGTCGTTATTGAAGCTACTAGTCACTGCTGTGGCCTGACTACATGGGTCGTCATTGAGGCTACCAGTCACCGCTGTGGCCTGACTACATGGGTCGTCATTGAGGCTACCAGTCACCGCTGTAGCCTGACTACATGGGTCGTTATTGAGGCTACCAGTCACTGCTGTGGCCTGACTACATGGGTCGTTATTGAAGCTACTAGTCACTGCTGTAGCCTGACTACATGGGTCGTTATTGAAGCTACCAGTCACCGCTGTGGTCTGACTACATGGGTCGTCATTGAGGCTACCAGTCGCTGCTGTGGCCTGACTGCATGGGTAGTTATTGAGGCTACCAGTCACTGCTGTGGCGTGACTACATGGGTCGTCATTGAGGCTACCAGTCACCGCTGTAGCCTGACTACATGGGTCGTTATTGAGGCTACCAGTCACTGCTGTGGCCTGACTGCATGGGTCGTTATTGAAGCTACTAGTCACTGCTGTGGCCTGACTGCATGGGTCGTTATTGAGGCTACCAGTCACTGTTGTGGCCTGACTGCATGGGTAGTTATTGAGGCTACCAGTCACTGCTGTGGCGTGACTACATGGGTCGCCATTGAAGCTACCAGTCACCGCTGTAGCCTGACTACATGGGTCGTTATTGAGGCTACCAGTCACTGCTGTGGCCTGACTGCATGGGTAGTTATTGAAGCTACTAGTCACTGCTGTGGCCTGACTGCATGGGTCGTTATTGAGGCTACCAGTCACTGTTGTGGCCTGACTGCATGGGTAGTTATTGAGGCTACCAGTCACTGCTGTGGCGTGACTACATGGGTCGTCATTGAGGCTACACACAAAGTTGGACTGGCGTCATGAATGTCTTGCCATTATCAACACCGTCATCACCCTCGTGGTGATAGAAAACTGATTCTAATATTTACCTGATAAATCCCTCGCTCACCCACCCCGATAATCTTGTGTGTGGAACAAATAATGATTAGCGTGTATTACACAGCGTCATTAAGTAAAGTTGGGCAGTTGGGCAACACATTAAAATGTAATAGTTTTAATTGGCATCGTCATTGTGTATACATGTTCATGCACTGAAGTACCTAGCCCAGTCCAACCAAGCCCAGCCCAGCCCAGCCCAGCACCTGAAAATGTGTGCAGTTAATTTGAATTGGGTATAACGTCACTTTAAAGATAGCTCTGAGAGAGAGAGAGAGAGAGAGAGAGAGAGAGAGAGAGAGAGAGAGAGAGAGAGAGAGAGAGAGAGAGAGACACACAGAGAGAGACAGAGAGAGAGAGAGAGAGAGGTTTAAGGTAACAACAAAACCCACCTTTAACGTCTTTAGCTGTGCACCGTCCACTGAACCAAGGAGACGTCTAGCCTGAATCAGTACCAGACCGTGAATGGTAGTCGCCTCAGTACACCCGCCTCGTGTCTGGGGTCGTGATCCCACTGTACGGGTCAGTTCAACTGTGTATTTGCTTAGCCTCTGAATTCTTGTCAAGTCATCGCTTCTAGAACATGACTCAAAACAAATGGTTCACGTTTGATGTGAGGGGTTTGTCGCTAATGTTTAAGTATATGTTATGTTGGCTTGTCCTCATTTTATGTTTGGATTGTATAGCAATGATATTGTTTAGATGATGCAAGTCATCATGTCAAACAGTTGTCATTGGTGATCAACCATTCGACACCGCCACATTTATGTTAAACAATGTAAAGTAATCATTGAGTGTATTCAACATAACTTGGTATCCACGTGAGGGTGGTATTTGTCCTCGCGGTGACTAGTGTTTGTTGGTAAGGATAGTTAGGTTAGGCTGGGCTGGGCTGGGCTGGGCTGGGCTGGGCTAGGTACTTCAGTGCATGAACATATATACACAATGACGTTGCCAATTAAAACTGTTACATTTTAATGTGTTGCCTTATCTGCATTTGTATTCAGGACATTGTAGCAGGTTAATTCAATTTGTCTACCAATAAAAAGAGTCAGGTCGTTTCAGAACATCCACACATGCCAACAAGAATCAATGAGGTGTTTAATATCGCCTGGCTCGACTTCACAAATAGAACAGATGTTTTGTCTATTAATGTCATCTTCTGGGGGTAATTTCTGTTGTATACTGTATGAAGAATAAACCTGCTTTGAAAATCGAGTAACTGGACGTCTTTAGTACATCTTCTGTAATTAGGGTGTATCATATATTTCCCACATTTTACATACAGCTGGTGCAGTTTGTGTTTTCATAAGTACATCGTAGAAAGTTCCTCATCCTTTTAAGGGAATAATCATGACATTTATTAAAGACTTACTAATTCCAGTATCCCGGCTTACTATGCCAGAAGCATCCACGATCTAGGGATATTTCTAATAACTTTCTAACAGTTCAATTAAGTACCTTTTTATTATATTTCCTCCAAAGGCTTAAAAGACATTAGGCCTTCTGAGTTACGGAGATCTAAAACTGAATAAACAGTTATGAATGAAAGGTTGTGAGTTATTAAACTGATGATTAAACTATGACGGTTTCAGCGAAATATTTTTACATCCGCTTGTTGCATTTTAGAACAAGATATATGCCTTTTCCAAGCTACGAAGACATCCTTCGAAAGTATTACTAACAGTGGTATGATTTCCCATATTAACCCCTAGAGTAGCAAATTTCTCAGTTGGGACTTAACGGGTTTAATTGTAGTTAAAGAAGAGTAAAGGTAGAAATCTCCAATGAGTCAATAAATGGTTTTATATCAATCATTCTAAGTTCACTGTAGTTTTTAGATGTATTTACTTTATTTTATTAGGTTTGACGTTCCAATTAAACGTAATTCCTCTTCTATTGTTTTCTGACACTACTCTGTAGTCAGTGAGTTTGGTTTTACCCCGCGTTTAGCCATATTCCAGTAACATCACGACGGGGAACACCAGAAATGGACCCGTGAAGGTCCGGGTTAGAATGAACCTTCAGTAACCCATGCTTGTCGTAAGAGCCGACAAACGGGATCGGGTGGTCAGGCTCGCTGGCTTGGTTGACACGTCATTGGTTCCCAATTGCGCAGATCTATGCTCATGCTGTTGATCACTGGATTGTCTGGTCCAGACTCGATTATTGACAGATCACCGCCATATAGCTCGAATATTGCTAAGTGTGGCGTAAAACTCAACTCACTCACCAGAAATGGGCTTCACACATTACACCTATGTTCGCTTTCACTACTAGGGTACCCCACAGTCTCTACTACTGTTAGTGTGGAAAGTTCCGTTAAAACAGTTTCATCACTATTTTGTAGATTGCGAATTAATGAAGCTTGATGAAGCCAAGTCTTATATATCATTTTCAAGTTTAATAACCTTTCTATTTTTTATGTCTTTCTTTAAATAAACATTATAAGATACAGATTTATTTCTAATTTTTAATCATCAGGCTTTCCAGGGATGGACGGTCATCAATATTTTACTTCAGCGTCAATTCATCAGGACTGAATGTATTTATATTATGCTTTTTATCTGTGTATTTTTCTTTGGTTTCATGGATGATCATTTTAATAGTTTATATATGTTCCAACTCCCGTAACAAATTAGAACTAAATTTCCAAATACCCTATATTCAATATTTTCTTATAAGTAGAAAAAACAAGTGTGATTGCAGAATGGTCAGATTTATACCCAGGTAAGATTTTGGCTTTAATCGAGGCATTATGTCATGGGAGACGAGAGAAAAAAGTAAAAAATATCTTTAGGGTTATCATATGTTTATGATTATCTGAGTCTATAGTCGGATTTAGGGCTAAATTAAACAAGTATGTGTGTGTGTGGTGTGTGTGTGTGTGATTAATCAACTTGAGTCTTACTAATTACATTCGCATCCGTTTGTAGGAGTGGATACCATGTTTACTTGCGGATTGAATTTCCTGTGATAATTCATTGATAAACATAGAGATTAGATATTGACTCAGGACACAATCCTGTCGTTCACCCTAATCACAAACATATCAGAATGCATGTATTATTAGACTTGCAAATAGTCGATTACATATAGCTTATACTCCATTTAACATTTTTGTAGTGGTAAAAGCATCCGCCCGGAGAGCGGAAGGTCGCGGGTTCGATCCCCGGTCGCGTCATACCAAAAGACGTTAAAATATGGAACTTGTTGGTCCCTGCCTGGCGCTCGGCATTAATGGGTACAACAAGGACTGGTCGGCTCGGAGTCAGTATAATGTGTCTGAATGGGGTATTCATGCTTCACTGCGGCATGGTATCTCAGTGGGCTAGCACTATAAAACCAGCTTCAGTCTGGGCTAGTACAAGCAGCCGCACACACATACACACGCATGCACGTCGTCATATGAGCGAAATATTCTCAAGCACGACGTTAAACCCAATTTCACCTCACTTCACCTCACCCCATTTAACATTTTGAGAAAGGAACAATTACATTTATTGTTAGTAATTGTTAGTAAACTTACCTCTGGATTATGGTTGCCTAATTCTGTGGTTTCCACAGACACATACAGAATGAAGTGAAAATTTTAACACTAGGTCATAGCTACCTCTACTGGTATGCCCTTCCAACTGACAGAGTAACCTCCCCCTGACCTAGACGTCACTGTATAGTAGTTTGAAAATCCTCACAAATTTTATGAAAAACAGTTAAAAACACTTATCTTCTAGAGGAAAGGTGGGGAGGAAGGGCGAGACCTATACCCCATAATCAAGAGGTAAGTTTACTAACAATTATTTCCAATAAATGTAATTGTTCCTAATTAAGGCGTAAACATTCCCTCTGGATTATGGTTGCCTGAATCCCACATACGGATGGATGGCTATCCCTAGAAGAATAGTCTTTAAGCATACCACTAGTGAGTTTTCTCCATGGTCAAAAACCCTCTAAGGATAACTATGACTTAGTAGTAAATAATTCACTGTTGAAATAATAGATTGGATCATTGTTTGCTGGAAGATAACTTCCGCCCACATATTGAGTAGTCTCTATTTATCAACCGAATTACAGTTATCTACTCTTAAAATGAATTAATATTGATAATTTCCAATTGACGACCTTCTCTGATTCTGTCGTCTTATGACGTCACTCCTGGTTCTATGACGTCACTTCCGGTCTCATGACCTCACTTTTTGCCATTTGTGACGTCACTTCCGGATTATGACGTCATTTCCTGACGTCACGTCCGGTTCATGATGTCATTTCCGGTTTATGAAGTCACTTCCTGTCACTTCCGGTTTAAGACGTCACTTCGATAGACCATCTTATATCACGGATCGGACAAAGTAGTCTTGATCTGTCAGATCTAGAGGCAGGGCCGGACAGAGCAGGTATTCTGTAGACTCTGTGTCCTAACAGTCCATCAGACGTCGACTGGTCCTTTGCTGTAAATTCAGGGACAGTCCTACAAGTCATCATCTTATACCATTCCGAGAATGCAATAGATTAAAAGGCAATAGCGTGCAGTTCTGACACTCTTGAAGCCGTAGCAAAGGCCAGTAGAAAAGCAGTCTTAAAACTCAAGTATTTTAAGGAAGTGTCTTGCATAAGTTCAAACGGAGACTTCTGTAGAGCCTGTAGCACCAAACATAGATCCCACTTAGGAAATAATGACGGCGATGACACATTCTTGATCTGGAAAGATCTAATAAGCCTGTGTAAGGAATGATCAGATCCTACAGATAGTCCTTGCAAGTCCATGACTGAAGCAATCGCTGATCTATAACCTTCAATAGTATTAAGTTTGAATTTTTTAACCATCCTGAGATACATAGGAAAGTCAGCTATGATAGGTATGGTGACTGGAATATTGAGTAGTTGTCGCTCTCTTCTCCACTGGATGAAGACATTCCACTTAGTGCCCTACAGTGCTACCGTTGAAGGTCTGATAAACTCGGAGATAGCCGAAATTGCTTGTTAATTAAATCCCTGTTCCTTGAGGGAACTATAGATGGTCTCCACACGTGAAGAGCTAGTAGGTTTACATTCTTGTGGTATCTGTCCAACTTGGGCTGACTGAGAAGATTGTCCCAACAAGGCAGTCGTAAGGGCTTGTCCGTCAACAACTGAAGAAGGTCTGTGAACCATGTTCTGGTCGGCCATGCTGGAGCTACCAGATAGACTACGCAGTTGTGTTGAGCGATATTGGTTAGTACTTCCGGTATCAATTTGAATGGAGGAAAGGCATAAGCTATCAGATTTTCCACTGCCCAGGCTGTCGGATCCGGAACAGGACTCACAAATGTAGGTAGACGATTGTTTCTTGATGTTGCAAAGAGATCTATGGATGGTGTTTCCCATTTCTCCGTGATAAGTTTGAAAGCGTCCATATTCAAAGTCCATACTGTTGATATCATGCTGTCCTGTCTGGAGAGGGAGTCTGCCAAAATATTCAC